TCCCTCAGGTGAGGACAGTCCCAGAGGACCTGCACCTGGGCCTGGGGCCCCACAATCCGTGATGCGGCTCCTTCCGGTTTTCTTTCCAAAGTGCTTCCCCCGGTGACCTTGAAGTCATGTCTGAGGATCCCCACTCACAAGGTCCTGGTGACAGGTGGTACTGTCACCGTCACTGTCCCCTTCTGTGTCCAGGAAGCTGGGATCAGAGAACCTGACTCAAAAAGTCAGATATCTGCTCTCATTACAATATACACGGGACCATGGGAATTACTTATTCAGTGTGTGAAACAATGAAGTTCCCACCTACTAGGTAAAGCATGGTTAAACTTATATGCATTAAAACATACTTATTGTCTGCTGAAAGAGAGAAAATACATTGAAAGACTATTTTTGTGCCTTGGAGAAATACAGATTAATTTCTAACAAGGGAGGAATCACAGTAAAAAATAAAAGTGTCCTGAAAACAGGGCTCACACTGCCTTGGGGCAGTCACTGCTCTGGGCCTGGTCCTGCTCCAGGGGAGACGACCTGAGTGAAGGCAGCAGTGCTGCCTTGGACTGTGCTGAGAGACATGTGGAGCAACTCACCCTGAAGAGTCTGTAGGACATGAAAGTGTCCTGGAGTGACAGGGACCTCCCATTTGAAGGCAGGTCAGGGACAGGGCTGTGGGGATGCAGCACCTGTCTGTGTTGGGACTCAGCCAGCATGTCACACAGTGGTATGTCTAAGTCTGGGCACCAGGGGGCGCTCAGGGACTGTTCCTGAAGGTCTGGGGTCATCAGAGCTGGGACCTGTGACTTGGCACTGCCTGGTGTCCTCTGCTTAGGGCACACAGCTGTGACCTTGCCACGCCCCGGGTCTCACACAGGCTCATCCCTAACCCCCCGAAGTCCCCAGGCACAGGTACCTGACAGAGGGCCCAGGGAGGGATCAGAAATTGGGGGGTTTCATTTGCATGAGTGGGCCCTCCCTCTGTCAGAGTATGAAGAGGGGAAGGGAGAGGTGTGGGGGAAGCTCTGCTTCAGCTGTGGGGCCACAGAAGGCAGGACTCAGGGATGGACTCCACCATGGCCTGGTCCCCTCTCCTGCTCACCCTCCTGGCTCACTGCACAGGTGACTGGATAAGGGGACAGGGGAGGAGACCTTGGGAGGACACTTGGGCATCTTCTTCCTGCTCCTGTCTCTGGACCCAGAATCACCATCTCTGTGTGTCTCTCTCCTCCAGGGTCCTGGGCCCAGGCTGTGCTGACTCAGCCGCCCTCAGTGTCTGGGAACCCAGGACAGAAGGTCACCATCTCCTGCACTGGAAGCAGCACCAACATTGGGGATGGTTACTATGTGGGCTGGTACCAACAGTTCCCAGGAAAACCCCCTAAAACCATCATCTATAGTACTAGCAGCCGACCCTCGGGGATCCCCGACCGCTTCTCTGGATCCAGGTCTGGCAGCGTTGGCACCCTGACCATCAGTGGGCTCCAGGCTGATGACGAGGCTGACTATTACTGCCATTCCTATGACAGCAGTAGCAGTGCTCCCACAGTGCTGCAGGGCCGTGGGGAAGTGAGACAAAAACCTGCTGTCCCCTGCAGTGCAGTTCCCCGGTGCAGTCCCCACTCTCCTGAGAAGACAGCTGCTTTCTCGGTTTGCTTGGCCTGAACTCAGGTCTGAGACCCACCACAGGGGACTGGGACAGGAACATGTGTCACATTCTTTGTACGTTGCCTCTGAGGCCTGTCTGGGGCAGCAACACATTGTGCAGTTTTCTGAAATGAGGGAAGGTCCTGTGTGTCAGGGGGAGGCTGTGCTGGGAACAGAGCCCATGATGGATGGGTCAGCAAGAACCAGGGACAGGGAACCCGTCTGTGTCCATGTCACTGCACATCAGGAAGGCCCAGTGTGTGCTGTCACCAACATGTACCCTCTCGACCTCCACCCTGCCCATCACTCATGACAGATCCACCCTGTGTGGCTCACGATCCATTCCCAGGATCAGCTCTAGCAGCTCAGGGTCCCTGACCCTCACTGGGCTCAGAGCTGGGGACAAGGCTCCCCTTCACAGCCACCCTGTGACAGTGTCCTCTGTGCTCACACAGAGCTTCAGGCCTGTGGGACCTGAGACCAGGAGAAGCTCGTTCTCATCTGCAGGGAGGGGACGTCCCAGCCTGTACCACTCAGGAAACCTCTGGCTTCTGGTTTTGGTGCTGCCACCAAAGGCAGGTTCTTCCAGAGCAGCCCCTGGGGAGTGGGTGTGCCTCTCCCCCCACCCCTGCCACTGTCCTCACAGCACCTCACACAGCCCCTTCCTGGACAACAGGTCTCAGAAAGAACAGGAAGTCAGCTCCCCAACAGCTGGGGACACAGAGTGGCTCTGCTCTGAAGCCCAGGTGCTGGAATGGGGGCACCATCCCGAGATGGCTCCCAGTGTTCCCCCCTCCTGTTCCCCCACCCTGTGTGATCCCCCCAGCTTTGGGGCTGGATGGACTTTCTGACTGTTCTCTGACACCAGAGTAGGACAAAGTGATGAGGGAACATTCAGTGTGGTTATGAGAAGCCTGACTTGTACAGGTCCACTCTCTCCTGGGCTCATTCCCTGTCTCCTTCTGTCTCTGTCTCTCCTTATCTATGTCTCTCTTTGCATTTCCCTGTCTGTGTTTATCTCGTTGCTTCCTTCTATCTTTCTTCGTGTCTCCCCTCGCTCCTGTCTCTCTCTCTCTCTCTCTCTCTCTCTCTCTCTCTCTCTCTCTCTCTCTCTCTCAGACTCTCTCCCAATGTAGTGGAGAAGCAACATCAGATACAATGACCTCTCCTACCGGGACCCAGTGCAGAGAACCCACAGAGGGTCCAGGCCCACAGACAGAAAGGACCTGAAACCCTCGGTCTCAGCTGAGTCCTGCCAATAACCATGGTTGATCCAGAGGCAGACCCCACCCTGGCAGAGTCTCAGCTGAAACCTCAGCCCAGCTTCCCAGGAGATCTTGAGCCGAGTCTCCCAGCTGAGCTGAGAAGGGCTGGGGCACAGAGACTGTGAGACACTCTGTGTCTTGTCAGTGCGAAGTTAGGGCGATGCTGTCACACAGCAGAGACAGCTCACACCCCTTTAGGCCTGGCCTGGCCTTGACCTCCTGTTCCTCCCACCCTAGGCCCAGCTCTGTGTCCAGCCACTGGATGAATTCTCTTCTGCCTCTGAGACTCTGAATTCAGTTACCTGGGGCACACTGTTTCCAGCTGTGTGCAGGGCTGGCTCCTGCTGTCCTTCAGCTCACAGCACAAGTGCCCCCAAGCAGGCCTTGTGGACGCCACCTGGGGTCCTGCCCTCCCTCCAGCACTTGCTTTGTTTCACTAGGGCCCTTGTTCTTCTTTCCTACATAGTCTCACTTTCCTGTCATTCCCCCCCACAGGCCATGAGCTTCTGGAAACAGAGGACCCTGGGTATCTTGGTGGCACCGTCCCCAGTCCCAGCAGGGCCTCCTTCAAGGTGAATTTTTTAGGCAAAGGAGCTGGATCAAGAATGAAAGAGTGTCAAAGCCACTCTTGCCTCTGAGCTTCTCACTTTGGGGATATGGGGGCTCATAGTAACTGTGCATGTTATTTGGGAGTGGGAGGTTGCCCAGCCTGTCCCTTCCCTGTCCTATTTCTTTGAGCAAGCAGGGCAGAGCCTGCCCCTGGTGGTCAGCCCCAGCACTGCAGCCCCAGGCAGGAAACCACAAACCAAACACACAACCATTTCCTGGATTTGAGCCTGCAGACCCTGACTGTTTCCTTTAGCGTTGAAATGGGAGCCCTGCTGAAAGCTTGCTGAGCTCCCACAGCGGCCCCACTGACTCAGAGACGTGTGCTGGTGCGAGAGTCTGTGCTTTCAGCAGGTCCATGGGGGATTTTTATCCATATTAAGGTTTGAGAAGTGTCTATACTTCCATGATTATGACATTATTCCTGAGAGTTCCTCTTATATAGTCAATCAAGTTAACATTCCAGGACACAGGCTCTCCCAAACTGCCATTCACAAATACAGGAAAAGTCAGAAGCAGATTTACAATCTCAGGTCATTACTGAAAACTGTGATTTGACCTCCAACTGCAGCCAGAGGTTGGAAGAAATTTCCACACACATGTGTTTTCTGAGGATACATTTTGGACCTCGCAGGAATATATACATTTCTACACAGCTTTCTGTATACTTTTGATTTGCTACCTATTTACAAAGTACTACACTCATCTGTTCTCCCAGTTTCTGAATTCCACTGAGGAGGGCGGTCACTTGGTGTTTGTCATCTCTGTCAGACTGATGTCACTCAGTTTATTTGCACAAAGATGTATATAATTTTAGAAATGGATAATTTTCGTACACATGTACTTATCCATTGATGAACATGTACAACGTTTCCATGTCTTGGCTGTTAAGAATAATGCTGCCATGGCTATGGGGTGCACACATCTTTTTGACTCTGTTTTCTTCCACTTCAGAGCGATACCCAGAATGGAATGGCTGCATAGTACACACGTTCAACTTCAGGAATCAGTCCATGGATGTGTGACTACAAAGAGTGGCCTGAGAGGTGCAGTAACCAGCTGGCTTCCAAGTGCTTCAGGCCCTGGGAAGGCATGTGCCCTATGACAAGAGGGGGCGCTGTAGGACTGTCCTGAGTTACCTACACAGGCTCACTGAGGCCCATTCCCTTAGTGGAGCCTGGGTCTAAGGGCGGGGCTTGTGTTCCCCAATGAGAAACAACAGCTGTTTTACTCAAACATTGTAGAGTCCCCGGAGTGCATCTGTGTGTGGTCTGTGGGTGCTTCCCCCAAGGACTCTCCCAGGGGAAGCAAAACTCCATCCTTTTCATTGTGGGGAGTGAGGTGAGCTCCAGCACCAGGGCTCAGGGAGGGGCTGGGCAGCCCCTGGATGGACACACATTTGCATGGACTGCCCCTCCCCTGGCAGAGGGTGGGGAGAAAAGGAGGCCTGGGCAGCCCAGCCCCACTGTGGGCTCAGGGGCTGTGTGCACCATGGCCTGGACCCCTCTCCTCCTCGTGCTCCTCTCTCACTGCACAGGTAGGGACAGGCCTCGGGGACCCTGGTCATCCTCAGTATTTCTCCCCTCTTGCTCAGAATTCTAGAATGGTACAGTTTCTTGAGCAAGTATCCAGTATGTTTGTGTTTGCAGGTTCCCTCTCCCAGCTTGTGCTGACTCAGCCGCCCTCCCTCTCTGCATCTCCTGGAGCATCAGCCAGACTCACCTGCACCCTCAGCAGTGGCTTCAGTGTTGGCGGCTACTACATATACTGGTTGCAGCAGAAGCCAGGGAGCCCTCCGAAGTTCCTCCTGTGGTATAAATCAGACTCAGAGAAGTACCAGGGATCCGGGGTCCCCAGCCGCTTCTCTGGATCCAAAGACGCCTCGGCCAACGCAGGGCTCCTGACCATCTGTGGGCTGCAGCCTGAGGACGAGGCTGACTATTACTGTGCTACACATGAAGGTAGTGGGAGCAGCTTCAGCTATTCACAGTGACTCACATGATGGGGAAGTGAGACAAAAACCTCAGGGTCTGCAGACCTAGTCTCTGAGCAACTTTCATTGAGAAACTTCTGTGAAGATGCCTGCAGGGGGTGCTTCTTGGTAGGCCCTATTATTGCACAGGAATGATGGACTCAGCCCCACTGCCCATGCCCACAGGGCAGGAGTAAGGTAGCTAATTAACCCCTTGGGTGCAAGTACAAATGATGATGAAGAAGTTTTCCCAGCTGCTCGGTGCAGTTGGTTGGAGTGTCGTCCCATAAATCAAAAGGTCGGGGTTTGTTTTCCCCTCAAGGCACATGCCTGGGTTGAGGGTTCAGTCCCTGGCCAGGGCAGGTGCAGGAGAAAACCTTCCCATGTTTTTCCATCTGGCACTGATGTTTCTAGTTCTCTCTGCCTCCCTTCCCTTCTCATTAAAATCAATAAGCATGTCTTCATGCAAGGAAAAAAAATGGACAAAAAGAAGACAGTCATGTTCACCTGCAAACCTTACACTGTAACGTGTCAATATTGTGTTGCTAATGACACGTCCGCAGTGATATGCCCACACTGACCCGGGTCATAGACACAGTTCCCTCTGTCCCCGGAGCAGCCCACACAGGTAAAGGGACCCGGGTCTTGCAGACGCGCACTGACTGGGCCCCGCACACCGCTCCTCCCCTCCTCTGCTCCGCTGCTGCTTCCCGCACCCTCTCCTCTCTCCCCAGGGCTCTCACCGAGAGCCAATCTCTGTAATATGACAATAGAATTACCGTTTTTTTCTTCAAAAGGTGTGTCTATCTGCCTTTGAGTGTTTGTGCAGAGATGCTGTTGATGTGTTTATTGCTCAGCCTGAGACGCACCGAGTCCCTGCACAGCGTTGGTCTCCATGTCACAGACACAGGCAGGGGGGCTGCATAGTCAGAACATGCGGACGTTCCTTCCTCCTCCTGAGAACAGGTGTCTCCTGAGCACATCAGAACTAGCTCAGACACACATACGTTTTGTGCACATTAATGAAATCCCAGGCATTGCCAGTTATACAAAATAGAAGTTATTATTCTCTCCTCGTCACCCCCAGGGAGGCGCCAGGGGCCACAGGGCACTGTGGGGCCAGGTGGTGGTGTCAGGGCAGAAAGAAAGAAGGGGCTGTGTGAACCCCGGACCTGTTTTCCCTGAGACCTGAAGACCCCACGGCTGAGGACGCTGCCCCCACAAGACCTGGGCTCCTGTGAGGGGCAATGGTTACCAGAGCTGATCTGCACCATATGCCTCCTTTCCCCTCAGATTCATCCTGGTTCCAGGGAAGCGCCCTCCACACACTGGTTTTCTTTAGCACCAGGTGCCAGGTCCTGAAGGCTCTGGGAGAACCTGCCCCAGGGGAGGGTTTGCCTGGAGAACCCCCTCAGGGGTGGGGAGGATGTCAGAGGGACAGGAGGCCCCTTGTCCTCGTGCCTGGACCTGAGGGAGAGGCTCCCTGAGGGTGTCCTGAAGGTGCACTCATCTCCAAACACACTCCCTGTCCCCTCCCTGAGGGTGTCTTGTTCTGGGCTCCGCAGGTCTCAGGCTTCTCTGTCACTGCAGAAGTCAGGGTCTCCCTCTGCTGACCCAGCATCCTCAGGGTCAGTGTCTCCAGGAGGTGGAATCTTCATCATCAGGAAACAGCAGTGACATGAGTGTCCCTGGGTCCTGTTATCAGGGCACCTGGGAAACGCCCTGAACCTCGATCCACCAGCTGCCTGTTTGCTGTGTGTCTGTGACCTGAGTGGTCGTTGCCCAGCATTACCCAGGGCATCCTGACTGCCGTACAGCTGCCATCCTGAGACCAGGCCCCTCACAGCCAGAAATCAAAGAGAGATCCTTTCTCATGTGCAGGGACAACTGACGTTCCCACTGGCTGGGCAAGGCCCCGGGTTTCTCCGTTGCAGTTGTTTGCAGGACGGGTTTTGGGGTGGGTGGGGGCCAACCAGACAGGCGGGAACAGGCTCCACTGCTCCTGAGCTTCGGCCCACACGCCCGCGTGCCAGTGTGTCTCTCTGCCCCTGTCACCCTGTGCCCCGATGGCCCGGCCTGGCCCTTCTCCATGCTGCTTTTGACTCTGCTCATTTCCTCCTATTTTGTACGGACATCTTCGTGCTCATGACTGTGTCCTAGGCAGCAGGAGTGACAGGCTGATGGACCTGCTTTCGGGTACAAGACAACTGAGAGGTAAAAATTATATGACATAGATTTTAAGAGACAATCACATAATCACCTTCATAAAAAGTTATGGTCCTGTGGAAAGATGTGAAAAAGGGAGAAAATCTCAGATATTTATGCATTATAAAATCAAACAGAAGGAAAATTACTGAAATAAAAATGACACTCGATGACTAAAACCCCAGTAGATGGGCTGAAGAACAGACTAACAGGTACATTGAATTCCAGGAACTGGCGAGAAAAAGAACCAACAATATTCACAAAGACAGAAGAGCAATCATCCTGGTGATATCTGGACAGTAAAGTGGGATGTTCAAAAATTACACCAGTTTGGAAAGAAATGGGACATTTGCTCTACGTAATTCACATTATAGCTATTATTTTTGATACTGTCACCTTGGGGCGCTGTAGATCCACTTAAGGTGAACAAGGCCGACAGTAAATTCAGATTTAATGACCGTGAAGGCAACAAGCTCAGTGGCTTGAGGTCCATGTTACAGCAGGTGCTCCCTCCCAGGGGACCAACTCAGAGCCCACAGGAAGGCCAGCCGTTGACTCCCGACAGTACAGCAGGCCCTGGGTGAGGACGCACAAAATTGAGGGTGGGGAAATAAAGAGCTGAGATTTGCATCAAGCATGACCCATACACAAACCCTCCCTCCGGGAAGCTGAGGGAGATAAAGGTGCCACCAGAGTGTCCAGTGTCAGCTGTGGGGCCAGAGTGTCCTGGACACATTTGCACCATGACTGGGACTCCTCTCCTGCTCCTGCTCCTCCTCACCGTCTGCCCAGGTTCATGGACATTTCAGAGAGCAGCTTTGGAAGGGACCTTGTGCCTTCCTTCCTCATTCCTCATGTGTCTGTTTTCATTTCAGGGTCCAGCGCTCAGATTGTGGTGACTCAGGAGCCATCACTGTGTGTCTCTGGGAGATACAGTCACACTCAGCTGTGGCCTTAGCTCTGGGTTAGTCTCTAGTAGTAACTACCCTAACTGGTGCCAGCAGACCCCAGGCCAGGCTCCCCGCACGCTCATCTATGACACAGACAGCCGGCCCTCTGGGGTCCCTGAGCGCTTCTCGGGATCCATCTCTGGGGACAAAGCCACCCTCACCATCACGGGGGCCCAGCCTGAGGACGAGGCCGACTATTACTGTGCTACAGAGCATGGCAGTGGGAGCAGCTTCCATCGCTCACAGTGGCTCAGATGATGAGGAAGTGAGACAGAAACCCCTGGGCCCAGAGGTTATGCTCTGAGCCTCACTGAAGCTTCTGTGGAGGCCTCTGCAAGGTGGGCTCCTCTGCAGTCAGAAATGTCCATGGAAGTGGGGGAGCAGCACACAGTCATGAGTGAGAGCACAGGGCGTCCCCGGTCACTCTCGCTGAAGGACTGACAAAGCCGGACTGATTGTCCCCACAGTGTTGGAGTAAATTTTAACAAAATTAATATTTTTAGGAAAAAAATCACAGTTTTTCTGCACTGTTGTGTCTTCTTTTGTACTCACACAAAACCCTTCACTTCTGTCACATCTGCTCACCAAATATGTGGGGGCATTTTGTTTACAAATAGCAGTTCTCTGTGACACCAGCTGGATGTCCCACCACACAACTCAGCTCCCACGCAACTGCCTGGAGACGGTGTCTGGGCCGCAGTGAAGGGCTCCGTCCCACGGGCCTGCCCGCTCTTCAGGTGACGGTCACACGCAGGACGTCCCCTGGTTTCACTCATGGCCTTGGCTGTAACTCCAAGGCTCCCCAGACCCTCCCGTGGTTTCAATTAGTTTGCTGACTCCACCTGAGCCCTCTCCCTCCTCAAGGAAACGGGGGGCAGGGTTGTAAATTCCGGCTTTGCATCCTGCCTCTGTCTATGAGTGAGCAGTCCTCCCCCAGGAGCCCACCCAGAGCCACCTCTTTAGAACAAAAGGAAAACCTGTCACCCAGGAAATTTCAAGGTCAGGAGACTGAGACCAATATATATTTTCTCTTATCTCACAATCCTGTGTCTGCAAGCACCAGTGATGACCCAGACAGTCACTGTTACCCACAAATTGATGCCATACATTTGAATCCTGTGGTACTTCCTCCACATCCCCACGGCCCCAGGCCCTTCAGCCTGACCCTGGACTCTGGGCCCTTGGGCACCCTCCATGACTGGTGACCTCATGACTGTCAGTGGTTCTGCTGAGCCCACAGGCACTGACTGTCCCCCTGTCCTCTCGCACTTCCCTGGGCTCCCCAGCCATCCAGGCTGTGGGCTGGGCTGTGTGGTATCAGGAGCAGGAAGTCCCCAGTGTGTGCCCGTGTTTCCTCCCCCATGAAGCTGCTGATGAGCCCAGACCCCAGGTGAGCTTCTCCTGCACAGGAAGCAGAAGACACATTGGTGACCATGGCAATGTTCCCTATGGTTCCCAGGTAGAGCCCCCATATTTGTGACCTAGAACAGCTGTGAGGGACCTTCCTCGGTTTGAGTCTCATTCTCTGAACTCAGTGCTGTCACCAGAACCTCTTGAGCACCTTTGGGTTCCAGCCCCTGGGAGAGGCTGGTGATCATCGGTTCAGAGCTGAACACAAGCCGATGCCACACAGCTCTCCTGCCCCACGGGGACAAGGGGTGAACCTGCCCTCCCGGCCCCTGCCTGGCTCATCGGTGCCCTGTCCTTCCCTGTGACCAACACCAGCTCAGGAGTTTGCTTCTGCTGTCACTTGTTCTATTAACACAAAAGGGTTTCATTTTCTCAAGTCTGTTTAACTTTATGATGTCAATGAAAATATCTTTTTGAAAATACAGTTCTCCCAAATGAAACAGAACTGCCCTGTTTCCAGAGAGAAACATTCCGGCAGTGCTGAGCGGGGGCCGGAGAGGCCTGCGTGCAGCAGGTGTGACCCCAGGGAACCCGGTGACCCTTGATGCTGCCGGCGGAAATCGTGTCCTTTCACGGGACCCTGAGAAGAGCACTTCTCGGACTCACTCATGGGAGACTGTGGGGTGACAGGATTTATTCGGGTGGAAGTAGAAGGCCGCTGCTGTGTCACACGTCCGTCTGTCCCGCCATGGAGAACGTTCAGCTGTGGCTTCAGCAAGGCTGGAACACAGGCCAGTGTCCAGCGTTTCTGTTTCGTCCTTTGGATCCCACGGGGCCTGCTGTGGGCCCTGACTGGCTGCTGGACCCAAATATCACCATGGAGAGAAGACATGAATGAACCAGGCAAAAGAGAGAGAGCAAGAGAGAGATTGAGAGAGAAGATTCTCTGTGCCCTGGCGTTATGTTATATCAGGCTTAGGAAGGACTGTGCCCTTTTACAAAGAGCCAATGAACTTCCCACGCATTCATGGGCTTGCTCTGGGCCAGCCTTCTAGCCAGTCCTGTCTACTTTGTGGGGATTACAGCACCCACATGTTTATGTGAGAGTCGTGGCTTCCGTCGCTTTTACATGCAAGGGTTGGAGGGCACCTGAAACAGGCACATGAGCCGACGCACATGCTGACCGAGCGCTCTCGAGTGGGTGTGCTCTCACAGTCAGCCGGGGGTGGGCTGCAGTCACGCAGGAGGGCAGACAGGCAGGAGGGGTCCTGTGGATGATGTGCCGGGGAGTGTGGAGACAGGGGGTTTTATGAAGTATTCTCTACAACTTGTGAAACTTTAAAATTCTCTCCATCACATATATTTTTCACTTCTCTGTCTCTCTGTGATGATGCATTTAGGCCCTATCATTAAGAGAGACTCAAAATGAGCAAAAGCTGTTTTCACTATAATCTCAAATTTAAGCCCATTTCCCCCTACAAACAGAGAAGATTTTGATGTGGATGGAGACCGCAGGAAAAAGTTGTCCGTGGTTCTACCGTCTCAAATATATCAGGGAAGCCTGGTTGGTGTCTGAGAGCAAGAGGAGGGGCTGCGAGCCGGGCGTGGAGGGGGCCGGTCATGAAGCCCCCTGAGCAGAGCCGAGGAGCTGGAGTTCTGTGCAACCAGCAGTGGGGAGCCCCTGAGGGTTTTAAATAGGGGGTGATCTGCCTGAGCTGAGGAGGAAGGTCCTCGAGGCCTGGGGACACAGTACCCGAGGTGAGCACGTGATCCTGGTCAGGGTCATTGACTAGGAGTCCGCGTGAGCCTAGGTGTGTGGGGACCATGGGACCGTGGGTACAGGTGCAGCAGAGGTGGATCCGGGCACAGAGGGATGTGCTGGTCTCTGCCTCCAACTGCCCAGACACTCAGCTGGTCTGCAAATGCATCACACCCGGTATTATCTTGTTACTAAAGTGAGACAATGAGTAAGACAATCAGGCAGGGAAAGCCTTATTTAAAATAGGAATAAAGTGAGGACACCTGGGACAAAATTCCAACGAGGAACATGTGGCACAGAGAAGGAGACCCTGCAGACCTGAGACTGTGCGTCAGTTTCTGAAACGAAGACACAGTCTGCCTTCTCCACTGGTGCTTGTGAAGCCCAGCAAAGCCACTATTATCATTATATTTTTTTACCAATTAATACTAAATTAAATCAGATCTCCATGAAAACTGAAAATGCCCTGGCTGGTATAGCTCAGGGGATTGAGCGCAGGCTGTGAAGCAAAGGGTCACTGGTTCGACTCCCAGTCAGGGCACATGCATGGCGTGCAGGCCAGGTCCCCAGTGGGGTCCACGAGAGAGGCAACCCCACAGTGATGTTTCTCTCTCTCCCTTCCTGTCTCTCTAAATAAATAAATAAAATCTTTAAAAAATTATTTGAAAAAAACTGTAAATGCATTCCATGAATTAAAATGATTACTGCATTGCTCTCCTTTGAATATGCCTCTGAGCCTTTCCCTGGAAAACCCCCTTTCTAGGTCATTCCAGAGCAGCCCCTGTGAGCCCTCCAAACCGGATCAGCTTTTCGTCATCTGCCATATGGGACAGAAAGCTCCCTGTGCATGTGCTGTGCCGCATCTTCACTGGAGGTGAAGCCAAAGTAACTTGTCATATAAGTACATCTTTTCCCCTCCCAAGATGAGACCCCTGGGAGTGAGATGCACCAGGAACCAGTACAGTGTAACAGAGCCACGGTATCTGGGAACCAGACCCTAGATGTGTAAATAGAGTCAGTGACCTGCTGAGCTGCAGAAACCAGCTGGTTTCTCAGGGTTTTGGTCTAGGACACAAGTGAGCCCTGTGACCAGTAGGAGGCGGAGTGGGACTGCACTGTGGTCCCTAAACAGCTAGATTCTCAGCGAGGACACATCACTCAAAGGAGCCTGAGCCTAGAGGCTGGGCCCTGTGCTACATAACGAGGTCTCAGCAGCTATGTCTCCTTTTGGGACTGGCATATTCTCCTGAGTGTTAACCTTTGTGTGGTCTCAGCAGGCACTTCCTGCCAAGGGCTCTCCCAAGAGGTGAAGCCAACCTCCACCCCCCTCTGTCTGGTGTGTGAGCTGAGCTCCAGCACCAAGGCTCAGGAAGGGGCTGGGCATCCCCTGGGGTGGACACATTTGCATGGATGGTTCCTCCCCTGGGAGAGGGTGGGGAGAAAAGGAGGTCTGGGCAGCCCAGCCCCACTGTGGGCTCAGGGGCTGTGGGCACCATGGCCTGGACCCCTCTCCTCCTTGTGCTCCTCTCTCACTGCACAGGTAGGGACAGGCCTTGGGGACCAGGGCTCAGTTCTGTTTTATTCCTTTCATGCTCCATCTCCTGAGAAACTTCCCCTGCTTCTGGCCCATCACTGACACGTGTCTGTGTTTGCAGGTTCCCTCTCCCAGCCTGTGCTGACTCAGCCGCCCTCCCTCTCTGCATCTCCTGGAGCCACAGCCAGACTCACCTGCATCCTCAGTAGTGGCTTTTTTGTTGAGGGCTACCATATAAGCTGGTACCAGCAGAAGCCAGGGAGCCCTCCCAGTTTCTACTGAGATTTAAATCAGGTTCAGATAAGTACCAGGGCTCGGGGGTCCCCAGCTGCTTCTCTGGATCCAAGGATGCCTCGGCCAATGCAGGGCTCCTGACCATCTCTGGGCTGCAGCCTGAGGACGAGGCCGACTATTACTGTGCTACATGGCACAGCAACAGTAATACTTCCACGGTGCCCCAGAGTCACGGGGAAGTGAGATTGAAACCTCCCTGTGCTCTTTCTGCCTGTGGCTGTCACCCCTGAGGTACCTGGGACCAAGTCTAACTCAAGGTGGCATTTGTTGTCACTTCTTCAGTGGACAACTCTTTTTCTAGGACACATAGATGTGTGCTTTTTCCCTTATTGTCTGTAGGTAAAAATTTTGTTATCCAGTGTTACTATCTTTTCAACCTGTTCAAAAACTAAATGTTTTGCAGAGATCACATAAGGTGTATCCTAGAGAAAGCCTAACAGTCTCTACTCTTGTCTGGGTGGACCAAAATTCCAGGACCAGTAACCAGTGAGATCTAGAGTGATTAGTAACATCATCCAAAATCATGAACATTGTATTGCATTCCTCAGGCGGATCACAGGACCTGGAGGGATAGTGAGGTGGACCCTGCAGGGGGCGCTGTGGGGCTGTCTTTAGGGCAGAGGAGTTTGAATTCATGCTGGGGTATACACTTGGATGCTTCAGGGATGAGATAAAACTGAATTTTTATCTGAAGGACTTATAAATCTGTTCTTAATTACCACTGAAACCAAAACTATGCCCGCTGTGTATTTTCAGCTCTCTATCTGCTTCCTCTCAGCCCCTGAAGCTGTGCTGTGAGGGAAAGTGTAAAGGGTGGAAGAAAGCACCTACATGGGAGACGCTTATGTGGGTGGGTTTGGGCCTGAGGGTGGGCGGGGAGATGGGCCAACCAGGCCTAATCAATACACTGGTCTTCAGTTTGGAATTGGCAGAATAAGTAAGAGTGGCGTGGATGTATGGGGTGGGGCCCGGAATGTTCTAATAACAAGTAAGAATGCAAAGGAAAAGATATGGATCATTCAGATAAATGAGGGAAGTTGCTGTGGGCCAGGCAGTTGGTAAGTGAAGCAGAAAGGGCACCAGGAAAGTGGAGGTGTCATGCTCACTCTCCACCTGCAGTGAGAATAAAATGAGGGGGACAGAAGGTCAGCCTCTCCTGCCCTGGAGACAGCGACAGTGTTGGGATCCTCGGTGCAGGCTGGTACCAACGGGTTCCTGGTGCCGCCCCCAAAGTGTGATGCTGAGAAGTTCTCTGCCCTCAGGGATCCTAACTCAGTTCTCTGGCTCCAGGTCCAGCAGCATGGCCTCTCTGACCATCACCAGCCTGCAGTCCGAGGATGCGGCTGAATGTGACCATTGAACTGCAGATGGTAGCAACACGGCTGTCAAAGAAGCACTGAAGTTCAGGGAGAGTGATCAGTATGATGACCCTGACGTCCCTGGGGCCCTGCCGGAGCCTCCCTCACTGTCCACAGTGGCTCTGTGTTCACTCAACACACCTGCTCCTGACCCCACTGTGTGTCAGACTCGTATTCCACTCATGTGCAGAGTGTTAGCACAATTATGTCCTTAGTGCCTTAATCTACTACATTCCTGTGGTTGTGTGTGTGTGTGTGTGTGTGTACACATACTTACTTTTTTATCCAGTCCCACTCCACTCTCACCGACTCCTTGAGTGCATATTGTACTCCTGTGACGGCCTGACGCCTCCTCTGAATAAGGCACAGGGCACATCAGCTCACTGTGTTGCAGAGGAGTCACCTGTCCGTGGCTGTGGGGACCTGGCTGCATCCTGTGGGGGGAAGTGCTGTGACCATCTCATGAGAATGCTGTCAGTGGGGTGAGCAACAAGAAAGCAGATCTCAGTTCTGAATGATTTTGGACTCTTCCTGGAGATGTCCCCTGTGAATGGTTATAAGTGGACACAGGTCTTATTGCAGGTGACAACGGGACAATTGATGAAGTTTATGGCACTGGGATGACACAGTAGGAAGTAAAGTGTGAGGAGAGACAGAGGAGCCGGTCACCCCAGGCACTGAAATAGAGGGTGTGCAGGGGTCTCCATGCCCTCAGCCCCTCCATTCTCTGAGTGGAGGACACGTTCAGTTGAAGGCTCAGGCACCCCTATGGTCCCAACAATGTAATTATCTAAGTGGTAGGAGGAGCAGGAGGAAGTCCGCATGCAGGAGAGGTCACCCCTTAGAGGAAGGAGTGAGGTGTGGGGACACCTGCGGGACAGGGGGGAGCCTGGGGGACGAGGAGCCCCTGCCCAGTGTGGGTGGGCGGGGTGCCGGGCAGGACTGAAGTCCAAGCCTCACTCTCTCTCTGCTAAGCTCCTCTGAGTGGCATCTACCCAAATCCTGAATCCAGGGTAAATACATGGCTTGTCATGTTAAAAAAATTAACTTGAATGGGAAAGAGAATCTACTCATGCTGACACTGAGCTCACTCAGGTGAGGAAATGTTGTGACTGGTATTTTTTGAGAACAATCCCAACACCCATTTGATGAGCAATCATAAGCCTGCTTGTTTCAAATGGGCAAAAAGAAAAACTCAGAGTTGAAATAATATCATGAAAACAAACCCAATGGAAATGGGAGAACTGAAAAACACAATAGTTGACATAAAAAATACTTCAATCTCACATTTATCTTGCTACAGAAAGAACACAATCAGTAAGAGAACATAGGTAGGTAGAGATTTGTTTATGACAGAAACAAATGTTAGGTTACCCATGACAAGACCCTAACAAGAAACACGTGACACAGGTACACAGAACTCCACCAATTAAGGTCAAAAGGCCACTTCTGAAAGGGATAAGCATGCCACATTTCTGCTGGTAAGTGTGAAGCCTTCAACAGCCATTATTGTTGCCCATCACTTAATCACATCAGAGCTGTGAAAACTGTGTGTGCATCAGGTGACTTGAGATGTGTGCTGAATAGGCCTCCTCTGCATGTCACGTGCCCCTGCATGTGCTCCTGGCAAATTTTCTGAGCAGCCATTATGACCCTTCCAACCAGAAGAGCGGCCCCCTCATCTGTGACATTGGACATGAAAGTCTGTGTGCATTTCCTTTTGCAGTATCATCACTGGGTGTAAATCCAAATTAATTTTTCTTTTAGGTAGAAGTTTGCATCTCCCACCGTTGAGGATTCCTGGGAGTGAGATGCACCAGGAACCTGTACAGTGTATGAGAGTCACAGTATCTGGGAACCAGACCCTGGATGTGGGAATGAATAGAGCCAGTGACCTGCTGAGCTGCAGGAACCAGCTGGGCTCTCAGGGTTTGGCTTCAGAGAGACATGTGTGCTGTCTGACCATCAGGGGGCGCTGTCGGGCTGCCCTGTTCATCTTCCCCAGGAGCTCATTAAGGACCATTTATTAACAGGAGCCTTGGCCTGGGGGCTGGGCCCAGTGTTTAGTGATGGGGACTCTGCAGCTGTGTCCTCTCAGGACTTACATGGTCCTCAGAGTTGGGAACTTATGTTGTTTCACAAGTGCTTCCCCAGCAGGATTCACTCAAGTGATAAAGCCAACTTTCATCCCCTCATTCTGGGGTGTGAGCTGAGCTTTGGCACCAGGGCTCAGGGAGGGGCTGGGCAGTCCCTGGATGGACACACATTTGCATGGACGGCCTCTCCCCTGGTAGAGGGTGGGGAGAAAAGGAGGCCTCTGCAGACTTGCTCCACTGTGGGCTCAGGGGCTGTGAGCACCATGGCCTGGACTCCTCTCCTCCTCGTGCTCCTCTCTCACTGCACAGGTATGGTCAGGACTCAGGGATCAGGGCTCAGTTCCCAAGTTTATTCCTTTCCTGTTCTATCTCCTGGGGAGCTGCCAGTGGTTCTGCCCCATCACTGACGCATGTCTATGTTTGCAGGATCCCTCCCCCAGCCTGTGCTGACTCAGCCGCCCTCAGTGTCTGGGAACCCAGGACAGAGGGTCACCATCTCCTGCACTGGAAGCAGCTCCAACATCGGGGGTTATGATGTGCAATGGTTCCAACAGCTCCCAGGAACGGCCCCCAAAACCCTCATCTCTGCTAATAGCAATCGATACTCAGGGGTCCCTGACCGATTCTCTGGCTCCGCGTCTGGCAGCTCAGCCACCCTGACCATCAATGGGCTCCAGGCTGAGGATGAGGCCGATTATTACTGCCAGACCTATGATGACAATCTCAATGCTCGCACAGTGCTGCAGGCCTGTGGGGAAGTGAGACAAGAACCCCTGTGTCATCTGGGAGCTGGGTGAACCCTGCAGCTGCTGCTGCTCAGGCTCCGCCTGTGCCCTGTGCCTTCTGCTCATTCTCTGGCTGCTCAGGTTCACCCAGGGACCCTGTCTCACATTGAAGGAATCTCTTCTGTCTTCTGTCCTAAGTCACTCATAGCAGCACTTTCCCAGACTAAGGATCCAAACAAAACTTAAAGTCCATCTCCCTTCCAGCTGGGGACAGTTGACTTTCAGACTGGTTTGTATTCATTATTTTTGGGCAACAAAAATGTGACATTGTGTTGGACTCCTGATCCTACCACGGGGCCTGAGCACTGTGTCTGCTGTGCGTGAAGGATGAGTCAGCTGTCTGCATCTCATCTTATAATGTCCTTCAGTGTAGTCGCTGCTGACCTGCTGTTGTGTCTTCTGATAGTTAATACAAAAAATATGGCCCCTTACAAGTATAAAATTATAAGAGATTGGTAGATTTGTCTAGGTGGGTTAAGGGAGTTATATGGGACCAACTCCTAGTTGTGAAATGAGTGGTTCTGGGGACGTGCTATCATCGTGGACAGCACGGGGACCAAGGTGCAGATGCTGTGGCTGTGCATGTGTGAACGCAGCTGAACGAGTGGACCCCCAACATTTTCAGCACAAGAAATAATACAAATTGCTACCATGTGTAGTGATGGATGTCAGGTAGACTTACCCAGTGGTGATTCTGTAATATGTTTCCATATGGAACGATCGTGTTGTACAACTGAAACTAATCAGTGTTGTATATGAATTAACCTGAGTTAAAAAGATACAATAAAAATTATCGTAAAAATAAATTCAAACATCTGTTCATAGAGAAACCTGCATTGGAAACTTTACGGTTCTTTACTCGTAGTCCCCCGACTCACAGAGCAGCCACACCCCTGTGCCTGGGCGTCCGTCACAGCCGCCCACCGACTTGCCCCGCCTGGGAGCCTTGATGACGTCCTCCGACCAGGGGACTCTTTGTGGAAGGGAATTTTTATTCCGAGTGCGATTGTAACTATGTCACGTTTTGGAAGCAGCACGACTCCAGAGCAGTGTGGACGTGTGTTGTGCACCGGTGTTTGCGGAAGAAGATGGACTGTGTGAGCACAACGTATTTCTTGGGGAGCAATGGAATTGTTCTGCATGACAATGTAACGGCACCCGCATGACACCATGGCTCTGTCATACTCATTGAAAACTTTAAGCACAGTGACAGAACCTTAATGTAGGCACGTGAGATCTAATGTAGAGAGTTGAGGATCCCATGGTGGAATTTTTAGCTGAATCTTATTGAGCGGACTCTTAAATAAATAACATACATGCATTTTAAGTTGGATAAGTGGTGACTGATTATATATATAGGCTTTTAATAAAAAGTTTTCCAAGTAATTGAAATTTTTTCTAGATCTTTCTGCATGTTGGCCCTTTTTACTCTTAGAGAAATGCCACAAACAATGTGATTTGACAAGGTCCTGGCCAACTTTTGACTGTGAACTGGAGGACAGATTCCCAGGAGGAATTGCTGCTCACAGTGTGTGGGGACCGACGGTCCCCTGCAGTAGGGATGATGACAAAGGTTCACACAACATCACACACTAAGGAGGAGGGGGCTTTCCCCCCATAACCGCCCCATCCCTAGAGAGAAAGACCACTTTCTCCTTGGTTTTGCTGGGGACCCACAGGGAAGGAGACCTCTAACACCAGGGGGCAACGAACCCGTGTCCTGCACAGAAGGGGACATGCCTGCCTGGGGTTGGTCACTGCTCTGGACTTGGTACTGGCCTAAGGGTTTAAGTAAGAGACACCACGTTATTCCTGAGCATGGAAATCCCAGGGAGGTGTGGAGAAGCTGATCCTGAGGTCTCTGAGGACATCACTAACGTGCCCTGCGGTGATGGGGGAGCCACCCGAGGGGACAGTTGGCTTGGCCCTTGGGCAGTTTTCAGTGGACAGAAAGTGGAAGTCAGAGGCTGTCTCTTCTTGGGTTCTGGTCACCACACACAATGGTGAGTCTGGGCCTGGGCACTAGAGGGCGCTCAAGTGTTGCTATTGAGGGAACTGGGGTGATTTGAGCTGAGATGGGAGAGTTGTGGCTCAGAGATGTGACTTCCCTAATGCACAGGTCTCACAAAGCCCCACCTCACAGTCATGCACAGTGTCCTCAGGCAGGCGTAGGTGGTTTGGACTCAGGGAGGAATCAAATAGTTGAGGAGGTGGGGCGGGGAATCATTTGCATAAATGGGTCCTCCTCTCTCAGAGTACAAAGGGAAGGGAAAGATTTTGGGAAACCCTGCTTCAGCTGTGGGGCCACAGAAGGCAGGACTCAGGGATGGTCTCCACCATGGCCTGGTCCCCTCTCTTGCTCACCCTCCTGGCTCACTGCACAGGTGACTGCTTATGGGGACAGGGGGTGGCACCCTGGGCAAACTCATGCTGTAGTTTCTTGTTTGTCTCTACACCCATAATCACCATCTCTGTGTGTCTCTCTCCCCCAGGGTCCTGGGCCCAGTCTGTGCTGACTCAGCCACCCTCAGTGTCTGGGAACCTAGGACAGAGGGTCACCATCTCCTGCACTGGAAGCAGCTCCAACATTGGGAGTAACAGTGTGCAATGGTTCCAACAGCTCCCAGGAAAGGCTCCCACAACCCTCATCTATGGTAATAGCAATCGATACCCAGGGGTCCCTGACCGATTCTCTGGCTCCAAGTCCGGCAGCTCCGCCACCCTGACCATCACTGGGCTCCAGGCTGAGGATGAGGCCGATTATTACTGCCAGACCTCTGATGACAATCTCAGCAGTCGCACAGTGCTGCAGGCCTGTGGGGAAGTGAGACAAGAACCCCTGTGTCATCTGGCAGCCGGGTGAACCCTGCAGCTGCTTCTGCTCAGGCTCCGCCTGTGCCCTGTGCCTTCTGCTCATTCTCTGGCTATTGTCCTGGGCCCAGCTTCCCCCAAAGACACTCTCTGGAATGGAAGGATGTCTCCCTTGCGTCCTCACAGAAACTCACAGCAGCACTTTCCGAGACTGAGTGTCCTAAATGAAACTGAAAGTCCATTTTACCACACAATGGAGAAAGTTTGCTTCCAGACTCATTTGTATTCAGTTTTTCTTTGATGTTCCAACAAATAGAATATTGTGTTGGGCCCCTGAACCTACCACGGGGCCTGAGCACCCTGTGTGCTGTGTGTGAAGGACGAGTCAGCCTGTTCTCGTCTCACATTAGAATGTACTTCAGTGTACTCACTGCTGAGTGCTTTGTCTTCTGATTTTCAATAAATTTTCTGTAAAATATGTCTGTGTAAAAGCATAAAATTAGAACAGATTGGTGGCTTCCAGAGTTGTGGGGTGAAGGGGGTGGCCATGTGGGTAAAAGGGGTGGAAGGGGACCAACTCCCAGTTGTGAAATGAAAGCTCCTGGGGAAGTCATGGACAGCATGGGGACTGGGGCGGAGATGCTGGATCGTGCGTGTGTGGACACAGCTAAACCAGCAGAACCCAAACATTCGCAGCACAAGAAATAATAAACATTGTTACCATGCGCAGTGATGGAATTTAAGTAGACTTATTTTGCTGATGAATTTGCAATATTTATCAACATAGAATGATGATGTTGTGCAGCTGATACTAGTATAATATTGTATATCAATTATACCTCACTTAAGAAGTTACAATAAATAAAATGAAATTATAAAAATAAATCGGAATTTCTGTTCACAGAATCTCTTGCATGTGAAAGTTTAAAGTGTCTTTATTAACAGTCTCCCCACCCTGAGAGCAACCGACAGGCCGTGCGTGGGTGTGCATTACAGCTGTGTGTGGGCTCACCCCAAGCCGGGAGCAGCAGTGAGGTCCTTCCTCCAAGAAGGGGCTTCTTTTTAAAAGGCCATGTCATTAATAATGTGATTCTAATGATGTGACATTTTGGAAGAGGCAAAACTCTAGGGAGAGTGGGAATATCTGTTGTAAATTTTTCTATGTGAAAACAAAGAAGGAGCAACTGAATTATTCGACATGACAATGTAATGGCACCTAAGTGGCACTATGACCATGTGAAATGCATTGAAAACTGTGAAGCACAGTGACAGACCTTAACGTGTGCACATGACATGCAGGTTAGGAGGTTGAGGATCCCGTGGTGGAATGCGGAAGGTGGCAGGAGCCCATCAGTTTGCATTGAGAAGGCATGAGGACTGCACTGGGTGGGGGAAGGGGAGGAAAGTTACTGACCAAAATACCTGTGACAGTGGGGGCGTCTGTCATAGTAACAGCAAAGGAAACCTCACCTAACACTGTGCTCCAGGTGATAAACTGGGTTCCCGAGGGAATACAGGTAACAGGGCAGGTGTGGCTGTGCTGTGCACTGTCGTTACATAATCCCGTGAGTGGGTGGGCACAGGTGGGAGGCAGACTGCTCACCCCAGTGATGGAATTGACACTTATCCCCAGGGGGTGGAGGCGTGATGCTCCCGGCAGTGACCTGTTAGAGTTGCAGACACAAGAATGAACTCAGGTTTGGTTCATGGGCAGGTACAATTGCAGTGGGAAATATTTACAAATGTGCTTGTTCCTGCACTAGGTTACTCATGAATATTTTATTGTCCTGTCCATTGATTGGAATTGCATATTATGGTGCCAGGGTGATAAGTCTGCCTTTCCCCAGATATGCTTTTATAACATTCTAAAGCAAATAATGATGGCTTCTTTGGAGAAACAACTTTAGACAGAAAGGGAGGAAGGGGGTGGAAGAGAGACAGGGGAGAAAGAGAAGGAGAGAGACAGTGAGAGAGACACACACACACACAGATGTGGATGTTGTTGTTCCACTTGTTTGCACATTCATTGGTTGCTTTCTGTATGTGTCCTGACCAAACCTCGAACTCACAACCTTGCTGCATTGAGACATGTTCTAACCCACTGAGCGAGCCACTTGGCCAGGGCCTGATTTATGTTATAACTGAAATTTGTACCTTTGAACTTCTCTCATTTCTGTGTCACCCTACCTCAGCCTCTGGCA